ATTAGCAAAGATAGCACAACAAAATAATATTGAAAATACTAGTATAATAATTTAAAAATCAGTCAAAACTTTTATAGTTCGTTTATGTTAAGGTTAGTGCTTTTATTATGGTTAGAGGTTAAAACAATATATAGTAAAATTACTCAAGGAAAACTTTTTGTTAGTTAGCGAGGAGTAGTTTTATATGCGAAGAGTAGTTTTGTATGCAATTTTTCAAGAAATAAGCGATTTTTGACAAAACGAATGTTCGTTTGGAATTTTCCTGTTCGTGTTACGTTGCAATAAACCTGGACACATTCAAGAATTGCATTACTATATTAAACTTTGACGACCATTACGACATTTTTAGATCATACTTTACATTTTTGCATAATAGCTAATTAGAGCCTAATAGATAGTATATATATAGAGTTATTGAATATTAATAAGGAAGATTCTTTCTTGCGTTGGTTACACTTTGAGTATTTTTCTTGTCTTTGTACATTTGAGCAAACCGCTTGTTTGCATATTTAATGCCTACGACCAGTAGTTAAATTGGCAGTTGTAAAGTCTCTCCCTTGTCGTAACACCGATTATCACATGCAACCAGCAGATCTATCCGGCTACCGTTTTTTTACGGGCAAGCTCGGGTAATTTATAAAAAAGTAAAGAAAATTTAAGGTGCGTTTAAGTGTATCAAAAAAGTAAGTGCTGGTGTATCAAAATCGTAAGTTTTGCCGCTGGGGAGTTTATTAATAACAATCTATAAGCGTATTTCTTTGCAAACAAAAAGTCTGCCAGATTTTGTCGCTCATTCGACCTAGATTGATCGACATCGGCCTGCATTAAACTAATTTTGAGGTTAGCGTTAGTGCTAATTTAAGGGTAGAGTAATTTTTTTGATTGCGCTTTTTTCTAATTATATGATCCGAAAAAAGTCAATTATGCGCACATCGCAGCATCACATAATCTTGGACTCTAGTGAGAAATATTAAGGTTATACGTAGTAGTTAGTCTCAAAGTAGTGCAGACTATTTGATAATTACACGCAACTTAAATACTGTACGTCTCTTCCGACCCGAACTCTATTGTTGATTAGGCTTAGTGTAGCCGTCTTAGGAGACTCATTATATAGACGTTAAACTTTGACAATATTTTAAGAGTCATGCCATTTCTTTTTATCGAAATAATAATCTTACTCTATTAATTCAATAATTGGAAAAAATTCCAATTAATCATTGAGAAAGTCTAATTGAATTAAATAATCACTTTTTTTAAAGGCATAATAAATTGTACTGATTTTTGAAATTTAATTAAACATAGACTTGAGCTATTATCTCAATTACTAGTAAATACAATTATGGAGAGATGTTTAAAATTTCAAGTTGATGCCTAAATATTCGTCAGCAACACAATATGTCAACAAACACAATAATCAAAAATACAATAATTGGAATCAATATTGAAAAATAAATTGAATTATAAAGTTATATGAAAGAACTTTGATAAAAAGATATTATTTTTGATAATGCAGATAAAGACTTGCATTACTTTCCGCAGTAGATAATATGAATTGATGAAATTAAAGATTATTTGACAAGTAATTAATTAATCACGAACTTGTTAACATTAAGAATTCTCAAATTCCAATAATAAGAACTGAAATAAACCCAACAAAAAGAGTAATTGCTCCAATCTGAGGTGAAACCATAGCAATAGAGTTAGCCGAGTTAGCCGAAACAGAGTTAACAACTTGAATATCAGCACATTGATACCAAGAACTATTAATATCAGATAACTTGAAAACAGCTTGAAGAACACCTTGAGAACCAACGGTTGCATTAGCTCTAGTCAAGTTGACAGTAACCGATTTTTGAGCGTTCGCGAGCTGAGAATAGGTTTCGGGGTCTTGATTATGAAGACGAAAAATGAAATGAATAAACAGTACACACATTTACCCATAAAAACACGTGTATGTTAAATAATTTACCTGATACTTGAAGAAAAGTGGAGTTTAGATCAGGAGCATAAAAATAGGTAAGAGTTCCATCACCATCATAGAAGAAACTTGTAGCACGACCTTGTGCTATATTAAATAAATAAAATAGTATTTAACAGATTTAGAAAAACAGTACAGTCAAGAAGAGAGTTAATAAATTTTAACTTACTAACGGGGAATTTAGTTATTGCGGAAGTATTGACCGAGTTAAACCCGCCACAAGGAGAAATTGCCTCATTAGCCTCATCGAAACCTCTAGTCGGAGGATTCTGTAATAGATAGTGAGAATTCGCAACATTAACAATAACGAAAAGAACCAGAAGGTAAGAAATGAAGGATTTCATAATTATAGTATTTATCGTTATTGTTTAAGTTAAACCCTAAAACTTCGAAGAAAGGTCAAATCAAGTATCCTTAATGCATTTATATAAATACTGTATTTAAATTCGATTAAGTTACGATCCTTGTTTCACATGTATTACACTTTTCCCTATTTCTTCCGTACCGTGTTAATTGTCGGTTACATGAGTGACCATTTAAGGGATGTGGACGAAAGTCTGTTTTGCTAAATTTTATCTTTAATTTTTTTGTTTATTCTTTTTTAATATTTCCATATTTATCTCTGAATTATAATTAAGATGATCCGTACGTCAATCCCGACAGGTCATAATTCCAACAGTCAAAATCCCGACAATTAAAAATCCCGACAGTCAGAATTTTCAAGTAGAAAATCCCAAATATTTAAAGCGAAGTAGCCTCTTATAATGTAATTAACTTTAGGGTTAGATAAGGGTTAGCTATGGTTTATGACGTTTTCCATCAGAAGTTTTAATTGTCGGGATTTTTAACTGTCGGATCTTCGGCTGTCGGGATTTTTGCTGTCGGGATTATAACCTGTCGGAATTTCGTTTGTCGAGATTTTGACCCAAACCCCTAATATTATAGGCTTACAAGCCCAAACAATACGTAGTACGTAGTTGTTGAATTACGTGATACAAAAATGAACTTGAAGAATAAATTGAACATAAAGTAAATTTATTTCTCCGTGTGTATTTTATATAAAATATTAACTATTGGCTAGTAAAATTTTATATGAAAGTTATGCAATAAAATCCGTCTCAAGAATGTTATTTGCAAATTTAAACATTTTTTCCAGCAACCAAAAACATTGCAAATATTCATTCCGAACAATGTGATTAACTTAATGATTCTTTATAAGCAAGCCCCCTTTTCAATTTACGCATGTTCACATTGTACTCATTATGTACGTACGTACTACAATGAACTATATGATACGTTTCGCAACAGGATCATTCAAATACCATAAAGTGCTGACTTGTATTATCTGCGGATTACTGAATATCGTTATGGTATGAGTGACCAGAATTGTAATAGAATTATAACAGATTAGTATGGTATGGTGCTTAGAATAGGTACTGTGTATACAATTCTTGTCATCTATCCCATACCAACCATACTGATATTCTGTAATTCCGTACGTACGATAAAAATATTTATCTAACCTCGACCCTGCTATAGTTTCACAAGACTGCGATCATTGCTCTCTTAGGCTACCCATTGAGAACTAAGTTTCACGCTATAATCCGGTGGATAATCAGTATTAATTCCTTTCGAAAGACTTTATTATGTTCACATATTTATGTAAAAATATTTTGAATATTTCGTGCTACATTCACGTCTCGATTTCACAAAGTGAAGCAGCTACTTCGACAAACGTTAAACACATAAATGTTTTTGTTGTATCCATATTTGAAACAAATCTGTGAAGCAGCTACAAACGTTAAACACATAAATGTGTTTTGTTGTATCGAATCAGACTCCATATTTGAAACAAATCTGTAAAGTACAAATGAATTAGAAATTCATAAAATTTTTTAGAAACCAAATTTTAAGACTCATTTGGGATATTCAAAATTCAGAACCTCGTTTGATATAGTAGCGTCTCTTCAGTTTTTTATAAATTGTTTTGCGGATATCTTTACTTATACAAATAACATATGTAATATTCTTTACAACAATATTTTATATATTTTTTATAATTTAACTTATTTTATTTTTATAAATTTTTAAATTATTTCTAACTCTTTCTAATTATATCTACTTCTATTTAATTTTTTTATATTTTAACAAACCAATCATTAACTACAACTTTTATAAAATCTTTTATTTAAATCCTTTAAAAACTAGCTTAAACAACAGAACAACATTATATAGTGTAATAATATTACTACAAATCCTATATTTGAA